TTGGCAACCCACTCAGGACCCCTTCTGTCTTTCTGACAGAAGCTTTCTTTCTCTCAATAAATGTTTCTACCCTTAACTTCCATTGTTCCTAAAATTCAATTCTTGGATTTTAGAGAACATGAACATGTTCTGGACATATAGTAGGTCAGGAGTTTCATTCCCCTATATCCCTGGGATTACAAGCATGCGCTACCATACCTGGCTTCAAGATATACTGCTAACAGTAAAAGCACAGGCTAGAACAGCAGGTAGAGGTGAGCCTTTCTGTCAAAAACAAAAACACATGTGTGTGGGTGTGTATTCATTTGTATGGGCAAAGCATGAAGCTAGGGTTTGAGCAGGTGGGGATTGTGGGGGACATACAGTTTCTTCTTAGCCATTTCTTTTTTGTTGGGATTTAAGTGTTAGTAAACATGGTTGGCCTTTATAATCAGAAGAACACAAAGTAAAATTCCATCTTCGAAAAACAGCATGGTGGGGGTTGCCTGTGTTCGAATGTACTTTCTCTTCACTTCCCATGATTATGTAAAGGTGCGCTTGTATTTCATAACCGAGGCTGCTGCCTAGATGTTTCTGGGTTGAGAACAAACCCCCAGGCTCTGTGTGCTCCTGCCCCTGCTTGGCTGTCTGCGTGCAGCTCAGGGTAGCTTTACCCTGATGTGCTCTGGCACGTCTGCGTCCACTGTCCGCTGAGCAGGCACCGATGAGGCGTGAATGGCTCTGAGCAGCTGCGTTCCTGAGTGACAGTGCTGGGCATCGACTTGGCAGGGCTGGGCCCATGTGTGTGCTCCTGGGCCACGCCTGAGCTGGGACACGGGGCTTGCAGTGGGGCTGATGTCCATGGCTGTGTCCTTGGGACACTTCTTTTGACTTACATCCAGGGTTCCTGCTTGAAGGGGCCTGGGGTGAGTCCTTGTGGGGTGACTGCCCTACCTTGGCCCCACCAATGTCTTGTGAATGGCCTGCATATAGTAGGTGCTCAACAGAAGCTTACGAGCTAAGAGTCAGTTAATCAAGCTCTGTCTCTCCCCTCAGTGCCCACAATTTCCTTCCAGAGGCACTTTCGATAATGTTATTCCTAGGAAGCAAGAACACAAATGAATCAACTTGCTGATGGAACTTCTGGATTCTCTTGGGCTGATTGTTTTTCTTTTAAGATAGGTTGTCATTAAATCACTGAGTTACTCGGGCTTGGCTCAAACTTGTCATTCTCCAGTCTCAACTTCCCAGACTGCCAAGATTACAGCAATATAACATCATGCCCAGCTTGAATTATGTTTTTTAACTTTTAATATCTGCTAATAAAAATAAACATACACATTATAAAAACCTAGAAAACACAGACTACTTAAAAGTAAATTGTTAGTTACTTTTCTCGTTGCTGAGACAAAATACCTGATACCCAAAGTCAAAGGAGGAAAGCTTTATTTAGTTTACAATTTGTAGAGGGTTCAGTCTCCAGGAAGGATGGCATGCAGACAAGCATCACAGAGGAGAAACTGCTCACGGTAGGCAAAGGTGGTGAAGCAACAAAGGGCAATCACGGCTCTTTCTATCCCTGATGTCTTACCCAGGCTACTTAGGGTGGGTAGCACTCAGACCTTAATCCTGGAGCCCTTGGTAGTAGCATTGCACCATGAATGGATCCCAGTGTCATGCATTTTAAATCCGGTCACCTCTGAATAATCTCCACCTATAACTGCCTAAGGCTTTGGGGGGACATCAAACCATAGCTTAAACTAGAATCATGCATGATCTCACCGAAATGGGACCATTGCTAAGGTTATTTATTCATTTGACAAATATTTATTTATTATAATTATTGTGAAGAATATAAAACAGTGTCATAGGTCAGGAGCTAGAGAACCACCACACAGGTACCTTAGATGGTTGAGCAAGGCTGAAAGTAGTCATTACTCTGTATGTATTTGCTATTTTTAAAAATTGTTAGGATCATAGTAAATATGCAGTTTTTCTTACATTTTCCCCTCTAGTTTTTACTGGGTCTTTTTTTTTTTGTCTTTTTTTGAGATAGGGTCTTGCTATACAGTTCAGGCTGGCCTTGAGCTCACTTTGCAGCCCAGGCTGGTCTCAAACTTTCTTTCTTTCTTTCTTTTTTTTTTTTTTTTTTGTCTTTTTTCATTTTTATCGGTACTGGGGATCGAACTCACGACCGCCTGCTTGCAAGGCAGGTGCTTATGCCACTGAGCTAAATCCCCAGCCCCTGGTCTCAAACTTTCAACAAATCTTCCTGCCTCCGGCTGCCAAGTGCTGAGATTACAGGCATGTGCCACCATGCCTGGCTTCCCTCTAGTTTTTAAAAATTCTTCAATTGCATCATTTTTACTGTGTATTATGCAGTCATAATGCTATGTCTTTCATCCTTTAGAAAGAGTGTTTGGACTGCTTCCAGCTTTTCACCGTGATGTATTACCTTCGCAGAACTTTTTGGTATCCATATCCTTGTGATTCTGCTAGCAGGCCACATTCTGATTTAGAACCCTAAACAAGAAATTGTTGGGTCAGAGGTGGCAATTCTTCCAGAGCTCTGGGTACCTATCTGGCAAAGATCTCTCTAGACAGTCTGGTTCTGCTGGCTCAGTCACCTTTGCCTCTAATTGTCGAGGTCCTGTTCTCAGCTTGGGAGAGAGCAGAGGGAGAGAATCCCAGGCGTATTCAGCTTGGGTGGATCTTTGCCCTCCCCTAGAACTGTTGCCTTACTTTTGTGAATTGAGCTTGTATTAAGTGTTTGCATGCACGGTACAGGCACTGGACCGTGCATGCATATTGAATACTGTGGCCAGTAAACAAAGAGAAGAACAAAGAGAAGAAAATGCCTTTTTCTAAGGCACCTTCAACACTCTGGGCCTTGTGCACCAGGAGGTGGGCACTCACGTGAGGCCCGTAAGGGCAGCTCAAGGAAACCTAAAGACAGAAGTGACCCAGCCAGCTCACCCGAGCGCACGAGGCTTTCTTGTCTTGTAGCTTTCCTTTTTCTTTTAACATTTTTTATGGAGATACAGTGTAATGAACACACTATGAAATTAATCCTGTATTTGTTCCAAAAATATTTAGCTTCAATAATTATAAGAAGGTCTTTTTTGCCTTTTGTTAACTTGTTTTTTCTTCTCACATTTGCTGTATACATATTTTGTTAACTTTTCAAAAAACTTGAATTTGTGTCACTCTGTCTGCAGTGTATATACAGGGTGTTGGTAAATGGATATAACATATCTTAATTTTTTCTAGAAACTCTTCCCCCTCCCTTTCCTCCTCTTTCCTCTCACTGGGCATTATAGTGACCAGCAGTCCTGTCCAGACTCTTGCTGTCCCATTCAAAGAATTTTATGGAACTTATGAGCATGAAAATGTAACACTTATTAATGGAAAAGAAGAAGAAAAGAAAAAGAAGCACGAAAGAAATGCTGAGGAAGAAAAAGTACTCTGAAGGAAAAAAGAGAAGATACTCTCTGTACACAGGATGTGCAAGTGAAAGGCTTCCAGAAGTCATGGCTTGCAGACTGCTGTCTTTTATACTCCCGCTCTGACATCAGATCTAGGTTCTCCTCTCAGAAACCCACCCTAAATTATGCCGGAAGAATTGAAAACAGCGTTCCCTGATTGGTGTCAGTGCAGGGCTCCGAAGCTGTTCTGCACGTGTGTCCTGAATCTCTGAAAAGCATTTGTCCATGGTTGACAGATCACAGCTGCTTTGCTGTGTTCGAATCTCCTGCCTCTCTCTCTCAATCTCTTGGCCCCCTTCTCATTTGTAAAAGATCTATCTCCTGGGCCGGGGACATGGCTCAGTAGCAATCGTGTCTGTCTGGCAAGCATGAGGTCCTCAGTTCAAATCCCCATCTTCCTGTTTCCTAATATATCTTTTTATTTTATGAAAAAGTAAAACAAAATTTCATAACAAAATAAGAAAATAACAATAGTTAATACACTGTGTATCATTATCTTCCAAGTAGGTACTCAGAGTAGACATATAGATTCTTATAAAAAAGAAAAAAAGAAGAGAAAACGTGTGATAATTCAGTTTGTGTGTCTGATTTATTTCACTTCACATTCTGGTCGCAAAGTGTGTTTATTTTCTACATCTGATTCACATTTATCCCTTATAGGAGGGTGGTGCTCCATAATGTGTAAATACCACGTTTTCTTTATCCATCACCTGTCGATGTACACACAGGCCACTTCAAGGGTGGTGCTGCTATATACCTCGGCATGGACGCATCATTGTAACAAGACGTCTTTGGCTCGCTTGGAAAGTTACCTAGAAGGGCGATAGCTGGGTCCAGTGGAATGTACAGCTTTAGTTTTCTTTAGAATTTCCACATTGATTGCCATAGTGGTTGTTCTAGTTCATCTCCCCACCAACAAGGTAGAACAGTTCCCTCTCCCTGCGGTCTTGCTAACATTGGTCATTGCTTGATTTCTTGATAGTGGTCATTCTTTCTGGAGTAAGATGGAATCTCAGTGTTGTTTTAATGTGCATTTCCCTAGCAGTTATCAATATTAAGCATTTGTATATATATATTCAAATTTTATTTATATATATTTTTGCCATTTGGACTTCTGAGAAGTGTCTATTTCAGTAGCTCATTTCTTATTAGGTCTTTTTTTTTTTTTTTTTTTTCTTATTAGGTCTTTTATGTTGGGGTAGAGCCTTAAGTTCTTTGAGTTTGTTATATATGCTAGCTATTAGTCCTCTGAGGTGTAGCTGGCAAAAGGTATTATTTTAACACTAGCCAAACAGCGATACAAATACCAAAATTCATGTACTTTGTATGTACAAATATCTATGGCTGGAGCATGGCTATCAAGTAACAAGACTTACTTAAACACATATGGCCAGAGAACAGTGGTCCCATTAATGAAAAATGTCTATATGGAAAAGGCTGAGGTTCATTGCAAAGCAATATTATATAGCAAAATCCAAGGAAGTGCAAATTTTAAAGATCACACTTTAAATTTAATGACCCAGACTAAAGTCTCAGTTACTTTTTTGTGAATTCAGAATGATTGGAAGTAGAAGAATGCTTTTCTTTTTTTCCTTTTTGTGATGTTTTCCTTTTTTTTTTTGTCTTTTTCCTTTTTATCGGTAGCAGGGATCGAACTCACGACTACCTGCTTGCAAGAAAGGCACTTATGCCGCTGAGCTAAATCCCCAGCCCCTGTTTTCCTTTTTTTGATTTGTCATTTTTTCCTTTCTTTCATCTGATATTTTGTTTCTTTTGTTTAGAAGAGTCCACTTCATTGGAACTGGAATAAGATTTTTTCCTTTGCTTATTTATTTATTTATTTATTTTTTAATTTTTAAAAAATCTTTATTGGTACCAGGAATCAAACTCAGGACTGCTTGCAAGGCAGGCACTTATGCCGCTGAGCTAAATCCCCAGCCCCTCCTTTGCTTTTTCAATTTAATTTTCTTTTTAATTTTTCTTTCCTCTTCTTCATTTATTCTTTTTTCCTGTAATGCCTACAATTTATTTTGTTTTTCATTCTCTTCGTCACTACCTTCACTTCTTGTAGTACTGACACCCAAAACTGCGTCCCTTTTGAGGTCCATTCAGAGAAAATTACAGTATTCAAAGGTCAGATGACCAGAGTGTGGCCACATTTTTCACAGCCTGCTCAGACACTGTCTTTGTTGCCACTGGCATCTCAGGGTGCCAGGCAAGCTACTGTGTGGGCCTGTCTCTCTCTGCCGGCCCTTAGCTGATCCTGTTCACCAGGCTCAGTCATGCGCCTTCCCTTCATTCCTACCTTCACTGAGTAAAATGATCCACCTGATGGCCTGAGTTCCTATTGGTTGACACCTACAAGATTTCCTCTCTTACAGCCTCCAATGTGTACCTCTTCAAAAGGCAGTTGGTAGAGAAACACAAGCTTCCCATAATGGTTGCCCCATTATGCTGGGAAGAGGGATTGCTGGAGCCCATAGCTTTCAAAAATACATATGCTTCATGCCGGCTGCAAGATAATCAAGATAATGCACAGAGGCCTCTGCCACCGGCTCAGCAGCTTTCCTGGTTTGTTTGTTTTGAGACAGCCAGTTTACTATGTAGTCCAGGCTGGCCTCAAATCTCCAGCCATCCTCCTGCATCAGCCTCTGGAGTGCTGGGATTACAGGCATGCACCATCACATCTATGCCCAGCAGAAGTTTTTTAATGTGGTGTAATCCCATTTATGGATTCTTGTGTTTATATTACAGATTAAACAGAAACAACCAAACTGTTATTTTTCTAGTATCACACATTCAGGAACTACAACACAGAATACTTCTGGGATCCCTGGTCATTAAAATGTCTGGGAATATCTTCCACTAAACAGTTCTCCAGTGGACACTAGTGTGTGCCCTCTAATTCAGGTCCATTCTGATATCATCTAGCTAGAGGCAGCACCACATCTCACAGGTTGAGGCTCAGTCCTGGTCTTCAACTCTGGACCTCTAGAACTTGGACAAGGTAGAATTAAAACTGACTTTTTTTACCCAGACAGCTAATGATTGGTTGTTAACCTTCAACTGGGAACCTGTGGTGACTCTAGGTTTGGTCTCTTTAAATTTGTTGAACACTCTTAACACCTCCTCAGACTTTCTATAATTTATGTATCATTGTGGGAAGTGTCTGGCTGGTGAGTTGAGTGCTGAAGATATTAGTAATTATGACTGAAATGGACTTCAATAACTTATGATTGCCTGGACACGAAAGATAAGTAAACCGGAATACGTGGTAAGTTAGAGCTGATGAGTTGATGTAGCTTGTGAATTCACTGTTACCCAATAGATTCTGACATTTTTGGTCTATGTTAGTGGCATAGCTTACTCATAAACAACCACTGAGCTACATCCTAGCCCCAAAGTTTTAATTAGTTAACTTTTTATGATTACTGGGATTCAACCCATGATGCTAGGTAAATGCTCCACTGTTGAGCTACATTACCAATTCTTCATTTTTTTTTTTAAATTTTGAGACAGGGTCTTACTCTAGGTAGGATTTAGTGATCCTCCTGCCTCAGCCTCCCAAATATCTGGGATTACAGGTGTGGTCCGCTGTGTCTAACTTCTTGAAGGGTTTTTACAAATTTCATCTCTAGCTCCTGCCCTACTTCTCAAGGAGACAGGTGGGTGGGGCTGGAAACTCCAAATTATTAATTCTCTGATCAGTTGGTTTCCCCAGTCTGAGAGGCTATCTGGGACCCCACTCACCTCACTCACATAAATTCACATGTTACCAAAGGGTCCCTCTAAGGATAACAACAGGCCGGATGTGGGGTGCATGCTGTAGTCCCAGCACTCAAGAGGCTGAGGAAGGAGGATCTTTGTGAATTTGAGACCAGTTTGGGCTACAAAGTGAGCTCAAGGCCAGCCTGAACTGTATAGTGAGACCCTGTCTCAAAAAGGCAAAAACAAAAAACAAAACAAAAAAACTAACTAAATAAATAGAATAACAACAAAGATACTCCTGCAGGTCAGGAAATTCTAGGGGGTTTTATTTTATGACAGGAAATGGAGACCAAGACTGGATATATTTCACATACCCTAAGTATGTTCATAGAATTGTGCAGTCATCACCACTATCTAGCTTTAGAATGTTTTCCTCACCCCCCAAAGTGACCTGCCCCCACTGGTGGCATACCTTACTCTCTCCTCTGCCCTAGCCCCAGGCACCCACTATGGTTGTCTCCTTCGGTTTCTATGGAGTTGGCTATTTCTGACATTTCATGAAGATGGCATGGAAGATGTGCTCCTTGTGTCTGAGCTGCACTCACTGGTATTTCCAGTGTTCCTCTGCCTTGTAGCCCATGTTACTCTGTTACCGATGAGTAACGTCCCACCGTATGGTTAGACTACATTTCGTTTCCCTTCAGTGGACAGGCATTTGAGTTGTTTACTGTTATGAATAACGCTGCTTTCAACAGTGATGTCAAAATGTTTGTGTGGACGTGGTCCTCGTTCTCCTGAGTGTACGCCTGGGGGAGGAGTTGCTGAGTCATGGAGGTGCTGGGTTCTGATTATTTGTGCTACTGCCAGTGTCTTCCAAAGTGTCTGCACCACTTTGGAATTTCACCAGTAATGCATGAGAAATCCAATTTCTCCATGACCTTGTCAACTCTTATTATTATTGTTGTTTTATAGTACTAGGATCTAACTATGGCTTCCCACATGCCGGTTGTGTGCTCTACCAGAGCTGCACTCCTAATTCCTGTACCTTTTATTTTAACCATCACGGTGGATACCAGGTGACATCTCGTGGTGGTTCTGCCATGTACAATATTATTTATTTCATTTTGTACTGCTGGAGATTGAGTCTAGAACCATATGTATGCTAGACAAGGGCTCTACTACCAGGTTATACTCTCACACTCTGTGGCTCTCTCTCTGTTGCTAGACTAGAGATTGAACTCAGAGTCTTTGCACTGAACTACATCCCCGCCTCTTTTTTGAAAAATACATTTGTTTAATTTGGAACCTGGGACTGAACTCATGGCCTTGCATTTGGCAGGCTGGCACTTATGCGCTGAGCTAAATCCCCAGCCCTTTGTTTATTTTGGTTGGGGCTTTACTATATAGTTCAGGCTGGCCCCAACTCACTATGCAGACTGGGCTGGCCTTGAACTCAGTTATCCTCTTGTCTCAATGCCCTGAGTGCTGAGATTACAGGATACTGATTTTTGTTTGTTTGTTTGTTTGTTTGTTTTGGTCTTTTTGAGATTTCACTGTGCAGTTCAGGCTGGCCTTGAACTCACTTTGTAGCCCAGGCTGGCCTCCAACTCACAGTGATCCTTCTGGCTCAGCCTCCTCAGCACTAGGATTATAGGTGTGCTAGAATTACAGGCAAGTGTGATAGAATGACAGAAGTGATAGAATTACAGATGTGCGGCACCACTTTGGGGCTATTGTTTTTTTGTACCCGAGATTGAACTCACAACCTCACATTTGCCAGGCAGGCTCTTATGCTGCTGAGCTAAATCCCTGGTGTCTTTTTTTTTTTTTTTTTTTTTTCCCTCCGAGGCAGAGTGTGGTTAAATTGCTAAATTGCTCAGGCTGGGTTTGAGTTTGTGATCTTCCTGCCTCAACCTCCCAGGGTGCTAGGATCACAGTAGTGTACCACTATGCCTGCCTTCACCATATTGCTTTTTTAATTTTAATTTTCTTACTGCTTTTTAAAAACATTATATAAATTAGGTCGGTGCTACAGGTCTGTAATCCCAGTTACTCAGGAGACTGAGGCAGGATGATAGTAAACTCCAGACTTGGTCTCAAAAAAAAAAAAGGTTGGTGATGTAGTTTACTGGATTCAATCCCTCAGCACCACCAAGTATAAACAAAAAATTAAATAACACATGCTCTTTAAAGAAAGATCGGGGCTGGGGAGTTAACTCAGCAGCATAACTACCTGCTTTGTAAGTGCACAGTCATGAGTTTGACCCCTGGTACCAAAAAAAATCAGAAATTTAACAAAACTACTGTGGTCAGGTTTAAGAGCCACATTGGAGGGGCTGAGGATTTAGCTCAGCGGCATAAGCGCCTGCCTTGCAAGCGCGTGGTACCGGTTAAAAAAAAAAAAGAGCCACATTGGCCAGTTATCTTAAACATTTCCCCAAAAACCTCAAAAATCCAGACTGCAGTTTCTGAGGCGGCCCTTTGCCAGTGGAGAACCCTGGGACTCTCTCTGTCTATCGCTTTCACACCCTTGAGCCTTCAGAGTGAGAAGGTCTGGCTGATTTTTGCAATGTCCTTAAAGCATCCTCCTTATTGTCTAATTGGCTTCTATGTATCTTTTTTTTTTTCTTATCAGTACGGGGGGGTGGGGGTGGGGGGGATCGAACTCACAACCGCCTGCTTACAAGGCAGGTGCTTATGCCGGTGAGCTAAATCCCCAGCTCCCAGTCTAATTGGCTTCTAAAACGTATTTTGGTGCGGGCAGGTGATTCACTGATATCACTGGCTAGAAAATTCACAAATATAAAAGCACGAGAATCTTAGATTTTTTTTTTTTGTTTTGAGATAGGGTCTCACTATGCAGTTCAGGCTGGCCTTGAACTCACTATGTAGCCCAGTTTGGTGCCAAACATGCAGCAATCCTCCCTCAGCTTCCTGAGTGCTGGGATTATGGGTGTATCACCGCCATACCTGGTAATAATTTGGTTTTTCAATGCTTGTCTTTTTAGCAACCAAGCTGTCCTGGGTCAAAACTTTACAGGCCCCAGTTTATTATTTTTTTTGTTTTTTTTTTCGTTTTTTCGGTACCAGGGATCAAACGCATGACTGCCTGCTTGCAAGGCAGGCGCTTATGCCGCTGAGCTAAATCCCCAGCCCCTGGGCCCCAGTTTTATAAACTCCAAATTTCTGGGTGCTTCCTTGTCAACCACCAGTAAAAAATGTTAAGTTGTTCAGCTCTGCTTTTTGGTCTTGCTTCTCAGGGTTGCTTCTCAGATATGGCTAAAAATGGCCAGCAGTACTCATGCCCTGGCCTCAAGTTTGGGCTACCTTGACGTTTCTTCAGCCAGATTAATTAGATTGCTGCCTTAATGTTAGACTACCATGAAATCTCAGGACACAAACAAAATGGAGGTGAATTTTCTGCCAATGGAGTCCTTGTTCAACAGAAATCTTCTGAGCCTGACCTTCATTTTCCCTGTTTTTATTAGCACTCCGATTTTCTGAGTGGTGACTAGAATCTTCCAGCAGGCTGGGCCCATAATACTCTAGGGCTTCTCCAGTTGGCATCACCCAAGCTTTCCAAATTCCTTCTGAAAACAGCCTTCCACAGGATCAGGCAGGGTACAGAGGCATCCATCCATAATCCTAGAACTGGGGAGGCTGCGGCGAGAGGATCACTGTGAACACAAGGCCTGCCTGGGCTACATAATGAGTTCAAGGTCAGCCTAAACTACTCAGCAAGGCCTGTTTCAAAAAAACAAACAAATAGTCACGTGGTTAGGGTCTAGCTCTTGCAATGACCCTACTTCTCTGCTGTCAAAATCTATCTTATCCACTTTCTTCACTGCTGAGATGAAGAGCCAATACCTGAGACTTAGCGGTTTACGTTGGCTCTTGCTCTGGGAAGGCCCAGTCCTGGCCTGGTCAGCCGGCTCCAGGCGGGAGTGGCATGGTGGGGTCTGGATGGAGGAGAGTTGCAGTTGCTTGCACCATGGTGGCCAGGAAGCAGAGAGAGAAGGGGGACTCAGGGAGGGAGACAAACCCTTCCAGGTCACGCCCAGGGACCTTTCCTCTTCCGACCACACCAATCTCCCAACACCCCCTTCATTCAGGCGCCTCCCAGGAGACCTGCCTGTGTGCACCTGAGGCCTCTGGGGACATTCTCCGTAACAACTAGTAACTTTGATCCGCAAGCGCTGGGACGGCGGCGGGCGAGGCTGCGGGACTGCGGGCTCGGAGAGGTGAACCCCGCTTTGGCAGGAGTCCCAGCCGAAGGGACCTCCCCGTTCCGTGCCTTGGGTCCCTGTCGTGTGTCTTCTTCTACGACGTGGCAGCGGCTGGAAATGACCCTGGAGTGCTGCTCCGGGCCTCGGAGGTGCAAGAGGTGGCGGGGTGGGGGGACGCCAGCAGGAGAGTGGCAGCCTGGGCGGGTCCCCTGTGGGAAGGGAACGTGCGGTCAGCAAACGTGTACACCACCGCGTGGCTGCGTCTTTCGGTGGGGGAGGAGAAAATAATCAGAAAGGGAAGTTGCGGTCAGTTTTTTAAATTTTTATTTTATTTTAAAAGTAGTAAAATACAACAGAACAAGACAGAATAAAGCCAACCAAGATGGTACAGTGAAATTGGTACAAAACTTCACAGCAGGTTAACGGGATAACAGTAAAAGGTATCACAGTATATTTTGTTATCTTTACAATAGTTCTTTCAATCACGTATATCAAAATAAAATGAAATATAGAACATTATAGAACTTAGCAAAACAGAATATTGAATAGAGCAGTACCATTAATCAGAATAGAGCAAAACAGTAATAAAAATATTTGCCTTCAAAGAGATGGTAGAAGGAAGTCCCCCTTATTTGCTATGGTCAAACTCCCAGGAGACACTCAGATTTCTGGTTCCCGTTTGCTAAGGTGGTGGTGGTGGGGGGACAGGAAAAGGGTGGTAGGAGAGGTGGGATGTTTGACTCTAGGCCCTGTACCAGTAGGTTCATTATTGCTTAGTAGGGAGGTAGGCTGGTTGCTTGGTTTCCCAGCTTCCTAAGTTCCAACAGCTGGTGGTTCTCCCCCTGGAAGGGCCGAAGTCCGCCACACTGCAATCATTTACCAAGGAGGGGAGCTTCTTGCTTGGTTTCCCAAGCTAAGTTTCAACATGGTGCAGATCTCAGGAGCTGCTGGTGGTTCTCCCCCTGGAAGGGCTGCAGTCTCCAGATTGTTAAAAGGATCTTTCAAAAGTAGGAGAGATTTTCTTTTGTTTTTTGGTGTCAGGGAGCGGACTCGGGGCTTGGCCTGTACTTGGCAGAGAGCTTCACATGAGCTATCGCAGCAAACCATGGAATATTTTTTGGCGGTGGTGGTGGTGCAAAGGGGTTGGGAGACTGATGATAGAACCAAGGGCTTTCACCCTGAGTTACCTCTTGCCTCCCTGCTTTTGAGGTTTAAGCTAAGCTGGACTTTGCAGTCCTCTCCTGCCTGCCTCAGCCTCGTAGAATACTAGGTACATTGAATTTTGGGCTGGAAATATAACTCAGTGGTGGAGTGCTTGTTTGGCATGCACCAGGCCCTGGGTCCAATCCCCAGCACAGTGAAATATTTCTGTCGGACAGTGCTGCTCTATGAATAGAGTATGTGAAACCAGTCT